AGACCGATCTTCGTGTCCGATGGTATCAAAAGATGGTTTCTGATCAGTGGACTGTAGATTACAATTCCCCTCATTCCTGTTTACATTTCTACATCGTTACGGTTGTTTGGAAGCTACATTGCTGTTATACGCCCTGCTTCGTCACTCTTCAGCGACTGCTCCTATCCTCAGGATGGCGTTCGTCGATATCTCGAAAGCGCTTGATTCGGTTTTGCATGACACAGGAGTGAAGCGTTGGTGTTTAACTTGAGGCCATGTTGCGGTGATGACAATGGGTAAGGGTCAGCGACGCGACATCTTAGGACATGCTTCACTACGTGCCTCAAATAATGATCACCAATCGCTATGCCTTTGTGTTGAAGACATCAGTTGACTAATTGCGCTCCGCATTATATAGTAAGAAATATTCATTCCGGAACATGAACTATGGTGCAGAACGCTGTGAGGTGATATCCAGAAGTCATCATCCACTACAAACACATACGTTTTGTGAAATAACAGCCAGGATTGTGCAGAAAATGTGCTATATTTTGGGGTTTGCCGGGAAGGAGGTCCAAGGCCTCAGCCAAAACAAGTTGCAATCTGTGTAGTGGGTAACTTCATATAGCACATTCCGATGTTCTTGAATTGCATTTTTATTCAGCATGTAGCTAGCTAGCAGTTTGTAGCTAGCGAACAGGAAAAACACTGTCAGCTTTGGCCCTAATACTAACATCAGCGCTCAATTAACCGAGAAACAGGGGGAAGGGTTGGATGTGCTGACTGACTTTAGTCACTCATACCGTTAAAAGTCATACAATTACCTAAGAACTCAAATGTTATTTTTAGAGGTCGACATTGTAACTACAAGACGAAATTAAAAAAAGAATGTGATGACGGCACTTACGTAGTATCAGCTCTCTTTTCATCCCAACAGCGAAGCACTTTTCCAAACGACATGATGGACAATGTTTCCGTTGGTTGCCTTCAATAATGCATCCACCACCCCGACTGCAAACCTTGATCTGGGCGTAGTGGGAGGAACGGATGGGTCACGAAAGTATGCCAAGGTGAAATTTCGGCATAAATGAAAAGCATTAGCGAGCTTTGGAACAAGCGACATGGCTAGACTCAAGTTAGCAATACTTGGATATCAAAAATGCACACCACTAATCTAACAGAGTAGCGGAACCTACGATACTCAGGCTCTTCTGTATCTACGCCACTGTGTGCTTAAGCGAATAGAACGGTGATTCTAAACCAGTTCTGCATCATGCACTTTTTCCAGACGTCATCACATTCCACAATTCTTTATGATCCAACTAAGGTGAAAGGTACATGAATGGAAAAAGATGAAACCATCTGGCTTTTTCCCGCTTTTTGCAGCGATCGACAAGAACAATAAACCCCGAAAGGACAAAGACTCTAATCATTTGGATAGCGGTGTCACTCAATGGGAAGCTTGTGACGATTCCAGACAACGCGAAACAGTACTTGATGGGAATGGGGCACGTCGACAGTTACCCTATCTTGAAGGTACATGAATGGAAAAAGATGAAACCATCTGGCTTTTTCCCGCTTTTTGCAGCGATCGACAAGAACAATAAACCCCGAAAGGACAAAGACTCTAATCATTTGGATAGCGGTGTCACTCAATGGGAAGCTTGTGACGATTCCAGACAACGCGAAACAGTACTTGATGGGAATGGGGCACGTCGACAGTTATCCCTATCTTGAAAAAGGGTACGCGGACGCTCTGTGAAAACCACCGTGGCATCAGCCTATTAGCTGTAGCATCGAAGACTGACTGAATACGGGCAGAGGCAGATCCGTGAAAACCGAGCTGTGTTTCGTTCTGCAAGGGGTTGCATCGACCATATTTTCACCCTCATACAATGAACTGAAGCTTTTTGTAATGCCAAGGCTCTGCACCGACGTTTTACTCGGGCACGATTTTCTAGGTCCCCATGGCAAAGTGGAAATTGCATTCGGCGGGGATCGTGATGCGTTCACCATCTGTGGCCTAATGACTGTAGACGTTGAATCACCATCACTTTTCGCGAACTTGTTTCCAGATTGCAAACCTGTTGCAACCAAATCAAGACGGCACCATCCGGATGATGAAAAATTCATTCGCGCCAAAGCTGACTGCTTATTGCAAGGAGGCATCATTGAGCCGTCAACTTCTCCCTGGAGAGTGCAGGATTTGGTTACCAAGAATGTCAATCACAAACGCCCGATGGTTGTTGACTACAACCAAACTATCAACCGCTTCACGTATCTGAACGCTTACCTTCTGCCACGTTTGGACAAAATGACTGGAGAGATTTCGCACTACGACGTCAAACTAACCTTCGACAACCTAAAGAATGAACTGGAAAATGCTACGATAATTACAATAGATTATAACGAGTCTTTGGTTGTTGAAACGAATGCTTCCGATGTGGCTATAGCCGCAGCCCTCAGCCAAAACCACCGACTGGTAGCCTTTTTTTCGAGGACACGCAATTCAAGCGAGAAGAATCATTCTGCCACCGAGAAGGAGGCCTACGCTACGAGGAAATGGTGGCACTATCTACTCGGAAAACCCTTCAAACTGATCACCGATCAGCTTTCAGTCACATCTATGTACGGGGGCGGACAGAAGGGTAAAGTGAAAAACAGCGAGATACAACGCTGGAGGATTGAGTTGTTCCAGTACAAGTATGATGTCATATACCGACCGCAAGGACAATCATGTCGCAGACACTGTCACGAAACGTATTTGCTTCCATGCGAGCAATAAACAACTCAGAGAGCTCAATAACTCCCTCTGCCATCCCTGCATTACCCGTATGTTCATTTTGCGCGTTGCAAGAACCTCCCCTACTCCGTCGACGATGTAAAGCGCGTTATTTCCTCCTGCAACGTGTGTGCCAAACTGAGGCCAAGATTCTGGAAATCCTCTGGTAGATTCATTAAAGCAACACAATCTTTTGAACGCCTGAGTTTGGAGTTTAGAGGCCCTTTGCCATCTAATACACGCAACCACCGCTTACAATAATTGACGAGTTCTCTAGATTCCCATTTGCATTTGCGTGTGCGGATATAACCTCCGCAACTGTGATTGAGTGTCTCACACAAGTCCTCTGTCCCCTCGGAATGCCAGGCTATTACCATTTCGTCAGAAGCTCATTGTTCATGTCGTCTGAGATCAATAGCTTTCTTCTGGAGAAAGGTGTTTCTATGAGTCATACATCGGCTTGTGATCCACAGTGTAACGGTCAAATTGAGCGTCTCAACGGCACCCTCTGGAAAACAATAAGCTTAGCATTGAAATCTCACAATCTTCCGCCTTCCTATTGGGAATCGGTACTCCCTGATGCTCTACATAGCCTCCGACCAGTGTTAGGTACGATCACGAACGTTTGTTTCAATATGCACGCCGCTCAACATTTGGAATATCGTTGCCATCTCGGTTGACTACTCCTCGTCCAGTTCTGCTGCAACAAGGTGATAGGTCATCCAAGCATCAACCACTAGTACAATAAGTCGAACTTCTGAACTGCAACCGACACTACACACACATTGCTCTTCGAGAAGGAAGAGTCGAAACCGTGTCCCTTCGCCGTCTAGCCCCAGCGGTTCAGAATACAACTGACAGTGTTCTCAATCTATCTGAACCCAACGGGGATACCGAACATCCAGATACGACTGAAGCAACCGGACGTCAGCCCGGTAGCTCTCAAGCATCTGATTCTTCTTCGGTACCATCCTCCGAATGCCAACCGAGTTAACCTGAAACTCTAGAACAACAGCGACTCATTCATCATTACAGTTTGAGGGACAGAGAAATCTGACTCAATACACCAGCCCTTGTCTACATCAGCTCTTGTGTCCATTCAAACAATGGCGAGTAAATGTCATGATTTTTGTGTGCTTCATACTACAGTTTCCATATATACTCGTAATGAACCTTTGTAAGTAAATTTCAGCTCAACCACACTTGTTCTTAGACAAGTAAGACACTGCTTATCCTCGAAAACACGGACTCTGATCTAACTCGTTCTCGGACACATTCTAAACGTCGGCCATCCATGTGAATTTGAGATGTTCTCCGGTGACCAGTCATGGCATTCAGGTTCGCGGTTAGGATGATAGTGTCTGACTTTATGGCTTTCGGCAGCAGGTGGAAGCAGGTAGAAATAACCATTGACCACATCCGGACTACAACCGACCGAGCCACATTCAAACAAGTGGAATGGCTTTCCAGTCAACCAGGATAACAGACGACAGCATGGATCCGGTGTGACAGCCGCAAGTTTGGCACACGGATCTATTACAAAACTCTTCTGCATCGTCACCGTCATCATTGACAGCAAAAAACGTCGACTGATAAATTAGTGCGTAAATACAGCACTGCAGGTGGACCATTAAGTGGGGGTGAGGGAAGGGAGCTATGCATTGAAGGCAATAGCTTGAATGCATGAGCGTCATTGAGGGCGCAAGTGGGCCAGGTCTGACCATGTCTCTAATTATTGATACGGACAGTCTCGGGGTCCATCCAGGAAGATGGCGCCCATTTTCAAAAAAGGGGCGCGTAGTGAGTGTGGTAACCACAGGGGGATCAGCCTGACCCCGGTTGTAACGAGACTGTTGGCGCCAATTGTGCTTCGTCGCCCTACGGTGGCTCGTGAGCTACTGACCCGAGAGCGTCATCATCATCATCACCATCATCATTGTCAGCTGTAATAACCGCGTACTCGCCGTACAGTGGTTGCAGCTGCCGCAGTTTCGTTCACCGATGATTTGGGAGAGGGGGTAGGTAGCTGCGCATCGCAGGCGCGAGCTGGTAAGTTGGTGCATAAATCCAGCACTGTCAGTGGGCTGTCAAGTAAGGGGTTGGAAAAGGAGCTATGCATTAAAGGCAATAGTTTTGATGCACGAGCGCCATTGAGGACGCGTCTGAGCCATGTCTGACAATGTCTCAAGCCATTGATGTGGCCCGTCTCGGGGTCCCCATCCAAGAAGACGGCAATGACTAGCGCAGCTGAGTTTGCTGGTAATGGCTTCCACACTTCGCTGCCAAATCATTGTTTGACCGCCTCTGGCTCTCTTCCACCCTTCACGTGGTTGGGCGAAAAGAGCCCTTCGAGGAAGTCGGTCGACTAGCATACGCAGCACGTGGCCAAGCCAGCGCAACCGATGCAGTGTGATCAGTTCATCTATTGAGGGTGAGTTACTTCTCCCTAATACCATTCGACGTACTTCAGAATTGCTGATCCGATGTTCCCACCAGACTCGGGCAATGCTCCGAAGACATCGATGGTCAAACACTGAGTCTTTCGAAGTCCTCAGCGCGCAGCGGCCAGGTTTCTGATCCATATAGTAATATGGAGCGCACCGCAGCATTGTAAACTCGACCCTTGACAGAGAAGTTGATGTCACGCCTACGCCACAGGTGACGCAGGTTCACAAAAGCTGCTCTAACCTTCCCAATCCGGATGGAAACATCACCTTTCGCGAGACCACCTGGACTGATACAGCTGCCCAGGTAAACAAATTTGTCTACTACCTCAATCGGTTCATCCGCAAGCATGAGGTTAGGGTTCCAGTCTACCCAGTCTTGCAGCAGCACTTTACACTTTGTAGGTGTGAAGCGCATGCCGAACCGTGAGGCCGAATTATTTAGATTATTTAGTATTATTTGCATTACCACGGGGTCAGATCCCAGAAGAGCTATGTCGTCTGCGTACTGGTGTCTGTGAACGGGTTACCTGAGAGCACTTCGACCCCACAGGAATTAGAGGCTGGTAGTGGGTCTTCCATGATCGCATCAATGATGAAGTTAAACAAGAAAGGTGAAAGAGGACAGCCCTGTCGGACACCACTTGATGCGGTGAACTCAAGTGAGAGCTTCCTGTAGACCTTCACGCGGGAGTTAGCGTACAGTGCCTTAAGGATGATCAAGAATTTATGGAGAACACCTTTGCTCCAAAGACACTGTCATAGTGTCTAAAGGTCCACAGAGTCAAAGGCAAATTTCAGATCGAGAAACACGATTATGGTTGTCTGCTGGAAGCAGTGTCGCTGTTCTAGAATCTGTCGGAGGGTGTGTTCAGTCAACCTTAGAAGAATTAAACCAGAGGCCACCTTCGATGCTACAGTTAATACACTGACGCCACAGTGGTTTTCACACAGCGTCCGCGTACCGTTTTTGAATACAGGGATGACTTTCGACGTGCCCCATTCTACAGTCGCCTCTTCGTTACATATGGTAGCAATAAGCTTTGTCAGATGGGTCACTAAGGATTTTCTGCCTTATTTGAACAGAGCTGGATACAGACCATCCTATCCTGGTGCCCTAGCACGTTTTAGTAGGGCTATTTCGTGCTTTATTTCTTAGGACGGGCAACCAAGGTTAACATTCCATTCGCCCGTATGCATTATCTCCACCGGCTGTGTTGCAGGAGGCCAGCTGAACTGCTCTTCGAAGTGTTCGGCCCATCTCTCCAGTCAACGTTTTTGCGAGTGAATTAATGAGTCATCTTTGTCACTTATCGTTTCGCTGAACAGTGCTTTCCTAGAGCCAGTCAATCATATCAGTTGATAAAGGGCACACCTGTTTCCCGTAGCAAAAGCCTTCTCCATCTCCCGAGCTCTCGATGTCCACCAGAGCTCTCGGTCTTTCCTTAGACTCTTCACTGTTTGGCGTTTGAAGGGTTTATGTGCGCCGTTGAACTCGTTGCCTGCTGGTACAGCTTTCCTGGCATCAATCATGGATAACGACCTCGACGACATGCAGTGGTCTTGTGGTCGAATTGGAGAATTCGGGCAGGCAGCACTGAACGCCGCTAGTATAGCTCCTTTCACATTTTGCCACGCTTCATCCACATGCTCACTCTCACCACAGTTTTGTTTACTGTGAAGAGTTGTTGGGCTAGCTCAGATCGATACTGTTGAGCTACAATCGTTCTCCGAAGACAGCGGATTGGCATGCTTCTTTCCGACTTGCGAGGACTTGAAGGGAAACGAACTGTCAGGTGTGCACACACCATGGCGTGATCGGAATCAAGTGGTGTGCCACAGAAGGAACGGCAGTTTTGAATTGTGGCTCTCCACCGGTAGCTGATGGCCACATGGTCCAACTGGGTCCACGGTTGATTTGCAGTTGGTGGCCGCCAGGTTACGCGGTGCGAACATCTATGTTGAAAGTTCGTATTTGCCAGAAACAGTTCGTGATCAGCACCCAACTGAAGGAGTCGATCTCCGTTGTCTGTGTGGCGAGCATCGACTCCGAATCGACCACCCAAATGTGATTCCAAGGAGCTC